TCTTCCACTCACAGCACGGCTACAACAAACTCGCACGAGGCGCGTCCTGATACACTTACGCCACTCACGACAACTGACCTGTCCCCCTCTCGCAAGCCCAGCTCGCCTCGCGCCAAAGTCCCCAATGGGGCTGCTGGAGAGGAATGTATTGGATTAAAGACAGAGCACCAGAAGTCCGAGGGAACCCCTCTTCAAGCACCCCCAACGCCAAAATCGCAAAGTTACACGAATGGAAGTGTTAGTGGCAGTAAGCTGATATACGATCCTGAAACGGACAAACGCCCCCAAAAGGAAAAGCACAAGAAGCCGCGCTATGTGGACCTCATTTCAACCGAACAGAATCATTGCCCACCTGATCCTCGACTCAGTATACCAAATTATAGACGGGGCGCCGGCTGCAAACAAAAGCCAAGATTTCGACCAGCACCATACACCTTAAAACCTTGGCCATTTGACTCCTTGACAAGCATAGGCCCCGGTCCCCCTGTTCAGATTGTTGTCACTGGGTTTGACCCTCTTACACCCATCACATCGATCAACGCCCTTTTCTCGAGCTTTGGGGAAATTGCGGAGGTAAACAATCGGACAGACCCTAATACCGGCAGGTTTCTTGGCATATGCTCCATCAAGTACAAAGACAGTGGATCCTTTCGTGGAGGTGGGCCGGTTCCTGGAGTGAGCGCGGCAAAGCGTGCTTATTACGAATGCAAGAAGGAGCAGCGGATAGGAACACGCAGAATCAGAGTCGAGTTGGACCGGGACGGAATCGTCTCGGAGAGGCTTGTCTCTAGAGCCGTCGATGCGCAGAGGCCGGGACACAAGAGTAATTTGCACGCTGTGGAAGAGACGAAACCCGAACAACAGACGAAGCAAGAACCTCCGCCAATGGCTCCAAAGGGCCCTTCAGGTAGATCATCCGTCCGACCTATCGCGGCGGTTCCTGAGGGACCCAAAGTGAGCTTCATAAAACCTGCCGTTCCGTCACTAGTTGAGGATATTCCAGTCCTGAATCAGATCAAGCGCGATCCATACATTTTCATTGCGCACTGTTATGTTCCAGTTCTCAGTACCACCGTGCCACACCTGAAAAAGAGACTCAAGTTATTTAGCTGGAAAGATATTCGCTGCGATAGAACAGGGTATTACATTATATTTGAGAACTCTCGACGTGGCGAAGAGGAAACTGAGCGGTGTTTCAAAATGTGTCACATGCAACCCTTGTTCACGTATATCATGAATATGGAAAACCAACCTTACGGGAATCCCAACTACGAGCGCAGTCCCAGCCCTGAGCGATTCCAGGCGGAGAAACGCGCGCGAACGGAACGGGAGAGGCTAAAGAAGGAGGCAGACCTCGATGTTGAAGAAGAAAAAAAACAACGTGCTATTGACCTCGACCCTTGCAAAGAGGTGCTTGCCATCATCGTTCGTGACCTCAAGGACAAGCTTCTCGAAGACGTGAAGTCGCGCATTGCTGCGCCGGCCTTGTACGACTATCTTGACCCAGCTAGACATGCGGCGAAAAGGAAGAAACTGGGGATTGCAGAACCAGATGGCATTAGAAGGCCACTTTTCCGAATTGACTTTGATAGCCGACTTGGAACGCCTGATTCTCGTTCTGAAATATCGAAAGCGGGGAGCCCATTCCATGCATCTAGTCTCAACGTTCTCGCGCTTCCGCGAATCAGGAAGGCTCGCCGTCTTGATTCTACAAATACGGCTTTCTTGGATGAAAGGCGCAAGCAACCATTGCGGAGGAAAGAAGTTCGGCCACTTTACCACCGGCTACAGCAATTGCATGAAGACGATGACTCGGATGATGAACAGGGAATCCCATCCACCAAGGACATTGACGAGCAAGAGAGTCGGCCCCCCAGCAGGATGAGCTCAAGAACGTCGGAGTCCGACGACGGCGATGGATACATCTCAACGTTTTTGGATGATTCGATTTCGAAGGATCTAACACCCGGAGGAGCCAGAAACTCGGAATCTATTGACAACGATGGCCATATCCAGGGTGAATCGTTCACTGTGTCTATTCAGCCAGACAGTCTTAAGCTCTCTCCGGCGTCGCATAAAAGAAAGAGGCTAAGCGAAGAGCTTATAGCGCGAAAACGACAAAAAGAAACCGCGGAGAGTTTTGGTGACAGCTCTATCGTCAACGCACAAAGTGAAGACACTGGAGCAATCTCAACAGGTCATGGGGCCGTTGTTGATAGTGGTATGGCGACCGAGGAGCATCTTGATGCGCTACAGAGTCTCTCCGCCCAGGGAGACAAGGATTGGCGGAACGAAGCAACTAAGCCAGACCCAACACTGGAGAGCCTGCAAAATATTGGCGTTGATTCCCCCATCTTCCTTAATGGGCGTCGACTTCTGTTAGAAGACATTGATGAAGCCGGCACAGGGCGACGGGAGGAAACGAAAACAAGTGTTCAGTGGAGCGTTTCAAGCGATGAACCTCGGTCAATCGTCGAAGATGATGAAGGAATATTCATGGACCTTGACGGTTGGCAGGATCTTATCAAGGACGAAGAAGACTTACGCTTCCTCCGAGACGTCTTGATTGAACAGTCAAAGACCAATGTTGGAAGTTTGTCAGCATGGGCATGGCGACAAAAAGAGATCAAAGCACTCAATGGGCCCGGTACTGTGGGCCCTGTACATGAGGGAACGATCATTCATGGCTATTATGTGTCCAATGCGACAGGTGCAGCTCGAACCGAAGGTCGGAAAAGAATACTGGAATCCGAGAAATCCAAGTACCTACCACATCGAATCAAGGTCCAAAAAGCACGCGAGGAGCGTGAGGCGAAGGCGAAGAATGATCCACATGCGGTGGCTGCTGAGGCAGCAAGAACTGCAGCGGCGAAGACTATTTCGAAGTCAACATCCCGATCAACTAGGGTAAATAATCGTCGTTTAATTGCCGACATCAACGCTCAAAAGCAGGCTCTTCCCACCCAAAGCGGTGATGGCGACGTTCTCCGTTTCAATCAATTGAAAAAGAGAAAGAAACCTGTACGCTTTGCTAGGTCTGCTATCCACAACTGGGGCCTCTATGCCGAGGAGAACATAACCGCGAATGACATGATCATTGAGTATGTCGGCGAGAAGGTCCGGCAGCAAGTCGCAGATATGAGAGAAAGGCAATATTTAAAGAGTGGAATCGGCAGCAGTTATCTCTTTCGAATTGACGAAAACACAGTGATTGATGCAACCAAAAGAGGGGGTATAGCTAGGTTCATCAATCATAGCTGTACACCTAACTGTACTGCCAAGATAATCAAGGTTGATGGTAGCAAACGCATTGTTATATATGCTCTGAGGGACATTGAAAGAGGTAGGTACAACAACAATATGCTCGGTTTGGCCAGAGGGCTAATGATTAAGCAGATGAGGAGCTTACATATGACTACAAGTTTGAAAGAGAATGGGATAGCGATGATAGGATACCATGTCTCTGTGGCTCTACAGGATGTAAAGGCTTTCTCAATTAATAATACATGCCAATTAACTATGTCTATACCTGCAATTCTCCATATCTGTCGAGGTCTTTATTTTGTCCGTCGCACGGCGTTCGTTCATTCGTGCTGTTATGAAGAGGCATACAGGTCCGCATCATCCACTGACTCGGTGGTGCTCTTGCTCAAGCTAAGTTTTGGGTTCGGATCTGTGTTTGAGCAGTCACAGTGGGTACAGCTGTTATTGACAATTGATTCGCACGGAAGATCTACTCCGGAGTATGAAGGCCTTCCAACCATTCTTATATGCACGTTGTTCAAGTCCTCTAGCAGAATATGTTCTTTGTTCCAGAGGTCAAAGGTAAGGTCTTGAAAATTTTGCGTTCGGTACTGGAACCGCTCGCGCCCTTCTTCCACCACGCTCTCGAAAGAGGCAAAGAAATGACCAGGACTCATACGGCTATAGGTCTATGCTAAATCGTATAAGTCGCCCAGTGCCGAGTTTTATCATCTCTTGGTTGCTAAGTCAAGCAGAGTTTATATTCCTAGACTGCGGGGAATGATCAGTTACTGCAAGATGACCGTTAGGGACAAAAGGTCTCAGACCTAGATGGCTGGGAAGAAGAAAATTTGCTATTCCCTCCTTAATAAGGTATTCGTGACCACAATTTCCACAGACCAATTTCCCTTCTACCACATGCGTCTCTAATAATAACCGGTGGAGTTCTCTTAAGATCTGTTCATCTTTGAGCGCATCGCCCTCGGGTTTTTTTTCAGGCAACTTTGGGAAACCGAGCTTTAAAATAAAATAAAAAGTAAGTGTCTCTCCCCTCAATAAGGCCAGCGAAGGATCTAGGTACCTACCTCATTCGCTAAAATATGTAACCCATCCCAATCAACCCTAGGAACAATATTACATATGAACTCGGGTTGAAAATCAATCTCCTGCAGCTCCAGCTCAGCATCCCGGAAGTGGAGAGGAAAGGATGCGGGTGATGTTTTGCAGTCCTTCACCGCACATGTCAAGAAATTAGCCGTCAGTACTTTCATTGTTCTCGCAGTGTGTGATCCTAAACAAATGTTGTCTAGTCTGTTCTCTTGCTCTCTCTCTCTCTCTCTTTTGGTGGGGGAGGGACGGCGGGGTTGAGGGAAGGGTACAGGAAGAGATTAAGAAAAAACCCAAAAGAGAAGGCGGGGATTTAGCTGCCGGCAGAATTTATGTTGCCCGCAAGTCCTGGGCACCGCGCATGGTATGTACAGTGCATGGAGGATGCATATTTATACTAAATAGAGAATAATATGTTAAGAATTAGTAGCTTTCCTAGCCGGCTGTAAACAAACAAATGTAATTTGCTATATCCTCCTGCCTAACTATCAACCAAGGACTACAGGCTTACGTAAATTTATAGAAACAATAATTAACTAACTAGTTAGTTAATTTACTCTTTAAAAGCATACAAGTTCTCTAGGCTGCGATATCAGCATAGTAGTACGAAGTTTTGATTACACTGGAGGTTTTCTTGGCGGACAAATACTTTATTTTATGATAACGTCCACAAGATCATCGTGTGTCATATCATGGTCTGCAGGGCAGGAGTTGGGGTCAAGGCATTCACCGTCAAATGTGAAATATATGGTCTGCTCTGCATGAATATTGTGTATGTCACGATAGGCTGCTACCAGCTGAGAAATTCGCATCTGTGACCCGACATACATCTCGTAATCTGCATGACCAGGGCACTTGAAGACTAGTTTAAATGACCCACATTCGGTCTTGTCTCCTTCAAGATCTGCGTACTCCTGCTGGGATCCTGGCGAAGGCTTGGATGACGCCAATGGGTAATTGGGGGCTTGGTCATCCATGACTGCTTCCATGTGAATATGGATGCAACCAAAGTCGTCCGAATGGTCATCACGGAATGTGGAGGCTCCAGGATCCCCGCTTGTATGGCCTCCTAGGCTTTTGCATGTTGTGACATCAAACAGCCTTCGACCTTTCCAGGTCAAGAACACAAAGGGGTGTAGTGCTCGCGGTAACTTCTGATGTTCGCACCATGCAAGACGAACCTCTTTTAAGGGCTGATAAATCTTTCGCTTGATAACAAGAGACTTTGTATTGGCAATTTTCGAGGATATGAGGATCTGGACTGTCACGTCCTCTTGGCGTTTGCTATGTCTGATCTCCGATTTGGAAAGAGAGTCATTATCGCCGTACTGGTCATGTTCATGGGTAGGCGATGCGAGCGGGGTATTCTGTTCGGTGGTTCTTGGTGTTCGAAAGGATGTGTTCGCAACACAAGGACTACGAGGTGGCGATTGGGCCTGGAGTAGTCTCTTAGTCCGGGAGGGTGACACACCAGCCACGCTCATGTCATTTGGCCTGAGAACCTTCGTGGACGAGCTTCTGCAAGCGTTGTCCTCACCTATCTCGCTGTGACTAGTGACTCTGGAGATAGGCCCATCGCTTTGGAAACTTGTCACTTGCGTGGTTTCGGGTGAAATCGAAAAGGCCACGTCCCCATGATGCTCATCTTCCGTAGTATGCTGGCCCCTACCTGCCATTTCATCTTGGAAGTGATCACAACCATGATTGACAGACCGAATCCGAGCCTCCCGACTAGCGGCCACAATGTCCCCATATGTTTGGTCAGCTCTGCGATAAAAGTCAGGGGACGAATTCCCATCTTCGGTGTTGGCCCATGAAGGCCTTCTGAAAAAGGACCGCATGCGTGACACAGCCTTTGTAGCTTTGAGAGTTCACAGTTGCCAAGATCTTTGGAATACCTGGCCAGCGAGGGGATGCCAGAAGAACCACCCAACAGTACGGATTGTATGTATTGTAATGACATCCATGGATACCGGTACCTACTGGCACGTGCAAATACCCAATGCCAAGCTCAGGCTCTTCCGCTTGGTAATTTATTCAGCTCGCTGCGGACTTCAACCTGTCGCACATTCACCACATTGTGTCAGGTAAAGGCCAATAAAGCTATAAATCAGAGGGGAAGATGGAGAACGGCACATCGTCAGAGGGCAGAGACCCATCTACTTTCCTGAGTGAAATCATCGGCGCTCCTGTCACAGTGAAACTAAACTCCGGTGTTGTGTACAAAGGTTTTAGGTCTCCAAGCCAGGACTACTCTTTGATTGTATCTAATCTCAACATAGGAGAACTTCAATCGGTAGATGGGTATATGAATATCGCTCTCGAGAAGTCCGAAGAATATGTGAATGGCAAGTTACAGCGTGTGTACGGTGATGCTTTTGTTCGAGGAAACAACGGTGGGTTCATGACTATTCCACATGCTACCAGATCAACTTAGCTAATATACATTGTTGCCTTTCGGCATAGTCCTCTATATCTCTGCGCACTGATGCGGACTACATTGGTATGGGAAAGGGCATTTTATTTCTATTGTCACGGGATCCTATGGGTGCAAGGAGTTGATTAGCGTTAGGCCTCGATAATGCATTGTCGACTAAGGCATACATGGTGGGGAGTTTTGGTTTTTAAGATCAATCACGTTAAGGTCTGCGGAGAAGTAACAGACATTCACAAAATCTCTTCATTTGGCTTGATTTCGGGTCAAGAATAAACTACGTTTCTTTAACAACCGGGTCTCGTCCACTGGGTAGGTGGTAGTTGGGTAGGTACATGCGTATGTACATACCTTACATACATACCTGAGGTGCCAGGGTCGGACTACACCGCGTACGGAGTATTACCAGACACGATTGGTTCTCTTCCCTGGTACGGAGTACATACATTATATGCCTTAGGCATCAAATAGGCAACCCCACCACGCCCAAGTAAAGATTGCGCTTGCCGACTCTGGAACTTTGCCCTGGTTGATTTATTATATTCTACCTCTTTTTCTCTCTGGCTGCAAGAAGCCTACAGAACGCCGACTCGCTAACTCAAGACACGATCTCCCTTCTAAGAAGAGCGTCTTGTCTTCGGCTACAGGATGAGTTTGCAAGCAATCAAATATCAGAGTGGCAATTTGGCCATCCTTGACCAGCTACAGCTCCCATATGTGGAAAAATACTTAACAATACAGACGAGCGAAGATGGCTGGCATGCTATTAAGGAAATGCGAGTGCGAGGAGCACCTGCCATCGCCATTGTGGCGGCCCTGGCCCTGGCGTCCGAGCTCCACATACTCATGACGCGCAAGGAATTGCCATCCGAAGCGGAGGACACTCGAGCATTCATTTCTGAGAAGCTAGACTACCTAGTGAGCAGCAGACCGACTGCGGTGAATCTCGGTGATGCCGCGCGAAAGCTTGAGGCTGTGGTGACAAGCAGTGTCGGAGGCCCCGAATCTACAAGCCTTAGCGTAGCATCCTCATATATCGAGTCTGCTGAGGGTATGTTGGCCAAGGATGTGGAGGATAATAAGATGATTGGCAAATATGGCGCAGATTGGATTATGGCCAACGCGATTTCTACTCCTGAATCCAAAGCCACTGTTTTAACACACTGCAACACAGGGTAGGTTGCATGTGATAGCGGATCATGAAAAAGAAGGATGCTAATTCGGAGACTTCCATAGCTCACTTGCGACATCTGGTTACGGAACAGCATTGGGTGTAATTCGTGCCCTTGCATCAAATAAGTGGCTCCAACGTGCATACTGCACCGAAACAAGGCCATACAATCAGGGTTCTCGTCTGACAGCATTTGAGCTGGTTCATGACAATCTGCCCGCCACGTTGATAACAGATTCCATGGCAGCTGCACTCTTTGCAAAGATAGAAACGGGTGTGAACGCAGTTATTGTGGGGGCAGATAGGGTAGCGGCGAATGGCGATACTGCTAATAAAATAGGCACATATGGCCTGGCTGTTCTAGCAAGATACCATGGGGTCAAGTTTCTAGTCGCCGCACCGCTGACAACCATTGACATGGCCACTAAATCAGGCAAAGATATTGTCATTGAAGAACGACCAGCTTCTGAAGTCGCCCAAATCAGAGGCCTCTGCAAAGATAACGATTCTAGCGGGGATCTGAGACTGGAAACAGTTTGCATAGCAGCCAAGGGAATTGAGATCTGGAACCCTGCATTTGACGTCACTCCTCGCGACTTGATTGACGGCATCATAACTGAAAAGGGCGTTATGGAAAAGGGCAGTGACGGTCAATTCCGACTGGAGGAATTGTTTTGATCGTGTTCAGTTGATGACACTTCTGGGCTTTGGGACTTGGTATCGGTGCCTGTTGACGTCTGTTGCCCGCGATCCTCTAGTGCAACGAGGAGTTCGTCGATTCTGCATTCCAGGGTACTGAGCTGGTCCTCAAGTGCTGAGGCTGTCATCTCACCACTTGATTGAACGGGTCAGATATGGTAAAGCCAACGACATCTGATTTCTTAATGGTTGTCATACTTAGCAATGTCATGAAATGCCTCCTGTTAGTCTATCAGCATACAGTGTGCAACTCATCAATGTTATACGGTCACTGATGTCTCTATTTGCAATGATCATATGGGGGCGTAAAGATATTGACTTACCTGTATGAGATCGATATTACCTTGATTCTGTGACATTACTGTGGTAGATGTGATAGTGATGTAGCTACTGATTTGCGGTATGAAAATATCTCGATTTAACTGTTGTGTGAAAACTTTAAGGTGTAAGTTAAATCGCAATTGCTGGGTACAAGGTGGTTTGTTCAGTTATGGTGGGATCTAACGGCAGATCAGAGGCTTGGCTAAGACCGCTCGCCTCGCTGCGCAGAGCGAATACATTGTTGTGAGGCACCGGTCCGTTGACTTTACCACTGCACTACATGCCAAAAAGGCTCAATGAATGACCAACAGGCCATCCAGTCAACGTACTATATAGGGACCCTGACAATTGTGCAAGATCCTGATATTTGTATGAATCCGGGAAATTCTATCTTTCTGTCGGCGAGTTCTTGTATTCGAAGCAAAATATTTTATTGAATATATTTAAACGGTTAATAGGCTCGATTTAAGGCTTTTTTATATCATAGGTCCGGAAAATTTATAATATAATTATAAAATTAGTTTTTATTTATACGAACTACATTTAATATTTTTTAATTAAAGAAAAAAGTAAAATGATTCCTTTTTTTTATTTGGTCTAAAAAGTCCAGACTAGGTAGGTGTTTATAAGAGATTATAAAGATATTTTAGATTATACTAATATTTATATTAAAAAACTTATAAATATTTACCTTCTTTTCTAATATTATTGTACCTATTTAATTAAATTTTATATTTAAATATACTCCCAAGATTTTCATATTTCTAAATAAATATTTTATACGGACCGCTCAGTCATACTTATATGTTCGACGAAAGGGAGTCAGATCCATTACCCACCAGAGCGGGGATCCCCCAGGGTTCCCCCATATCACCTATCCCCCTTCCTGCTCTACAACTCCGACATTCGACTCATGCAAACCGACTGACCTAAAAGCCGTCGGAATCGGCTTCGTTGATAACGCGAATATGATAGCCTGAGGTCTGACTACACAATCTACCTACCGGACACTGACTACGTTACACGAGATATGCTTGGGGTGGGCGGTCGCCTACAGAACCAAACTCGCACCGGAAAAGTACGAACTAATCCACTTCTCACGCTGTAAGGGGGACGACATTGGCAGACTGATACATATGGGCCAGTGATCAAATACCTGTCCAAGAGCATTAGGGTTCTGGGACTACACCTAGATATGAGACTCAACTGGGGGGCTCACGCAGCGGTACTGTAAGAAAAGATAGCTACCCAAGAGAATGCACTCAAACGGCTGACGGGCTCGATCTGAGGCCTCCTCATGCTGCAGGCCCAGAAGGTTTACAATACAGTTGTCCGTCCGGCCCTTATTTATGCTAGCCACACCTGGCACACCCCAATCAGAGGAAAATACAAGATAACCGCCCCTCTCTGTTTGGCCCGGAAGGTCCAGGTCAGATGCCTACGAAAGATCACTAGAGCATTTAGAGTCACGCTGACATTTATCCTAGAGGCACTCGCCTATATTCTCCCGATCGAATACTATCTCACGGGAAAATTGGTTGAATATCACGCGAAGGCCGCGAGGCGGGAAACCAGCGAACTCATAAAATAGACATGCAAGAGGGTAGGGGATAGTGTCTTCCGACTAACAGTCTACAGACAAGAGATCAGGGGATACAACAGACCTATGCTACAGGGCTGGGGCCAGGCATGGATCAAAAGGGCGCTACTACCGGCAGCGAAGAGGTGGACCAAGATGTTACGCGCTTGGCAGTGGGTAGGTGCGCTTCTACCGCCAAGACCGATTTAGTAGGTCGTTACCGACTGAGCTACTGAAAAGACCAGAATACCAAGTCAACGACTTGGTACGCGCATCACTCTATATAGTGGTTCTTGGTCAGTTCGTCACACAAGAAACGTAAGATATAGGAGACAACTTTAGAGAGATAGAAAGAAGAGAAAGAGAGGCTCTGCAGAAACTCATCTAAGAAAGTCTAATACAGACTAACTAAGGACCTGCTTAAGCTTTAGGTCGGTTTGAACAAGGCTAAGAGTTCAGTATTAATACATTTTGGATAAGTAAGGTAGGACTAGCAGCCTTCCTACATTACGTAAAAGTACTAAAATAGGAATTTCTGATGTATCCTAAGTGTAACAGAGAAAAAGAGGACCTTAAATATGTCATTACATTCTGTATAGTATATAACGAAGCGAGATACGATCTAGAGGTACAAGGA